CATTCCTGTATAGTTGATACCTGAAAATGCTTGCAAGACGTCGGCTTCAGCTTAAAAATGCTTTGGAATTTTCTGACCCACAAAGAAGTATCATATGCATGATTACCGGCGACCATACCATTTCTGAACCAGTGGTGAACTAGAAGCCCTTTCAAGTATCAAGTAACTATATGAAAATGCAGAGCAGTTTGAAAAAGCAAGTATCGATCTCCCAATTTTCAGCCTCAAAATTTCAAAAGTCTCTTATACTGTGAACGGTTGGTGATAGAACCAGATGCTGGAAAGCACGACTGCTTATTTTGGAGTCACCCAATGAGGATTCGTTTAGGGAAAGGAGTTCGCGTCGTTCGCTTCTCTGGGAAATTTCCAATTGTAACAAGGAATAAAATTTTTTCAGCTAAAATTTCAGAGATGCCATTATCGTTGCTTGTCGAGTTTCCCGACGAAATGGCATTTGCGAAGTACAGATTTTGAATTTGTTGAAAAAAGATGTCTTTGAGGCTCTTGAATTATAAAAATGTTTTCGAATTGTTCGTTCTGCGGCAAACGGTTTGAATCCGCCGAAGGAACAACCAGTCCTCCTATATTTCATTTACTTGTTTCAATGGTAAACTGCTGCTGATATGCCATAGAGTCAAAACTGCTCATCAACACAGGAAAAAAAGTGCAAAAAATTGAGTCTGATAAAAAAAGAAAGACTATTTAAGGAAATGCTCCGTATTTAGCTGCTACGATGAAAAAGCAGCTAATCATTTAAAAGCTTCTAGGCTTTTTTAAGTTAGGTGAACAAAAACTCGCCGATCGCTGTTATGAAGCCAGCAAAAATGCAGTTGATAAGCGTCCTGAAACGTGGATCAGTGTACCATTCAGTAGTAAAAAATTCCACCGCTTTACCACCAAATGTTGCAAAACCTTCGATCAATGAACCAGCTGTTAAAGCAACCTGAAACTGCAAGAAAAATTTGATCAAATCCCTCCATAAATCAAGCATTGAGAGATAAGGTACTCAGAATCAATCAGATCCCCGCTGGCACCGGTTATCGATGGTTCTCTCTTTCAAGGATTGCTTAGGAAAAATCTAGCATTTCGTGCGGAAACGCTATTTTCACTGTTGCTAAATAATCACTTCCAAATTGCTAATTTTGGTAACACTTTGACAAAATTTTTATGCGTTTCTAGCCAACTTCCAAGCACCTACTTCTTCAATTTATCATTCTTTCTTCAGTCAGAAAATTTTGAGCACTCCTGAGCAATTGAAAAAGGAAAAGCACTATTGTTTTCTAATTCCAACAATGATCTCTTCGTGTTGCTTAGAATCGCTTACTCTTTTCTTGACTGCTGATTTTCAGGATTTCGATGCTTCGAATAAATCTTCTAAACTTTGCAGTTAAAATGATACCAGGCTGACATAAATGCGACTGGCTGAGAGGAATGTATCTAAGTATTTTCATCAAAATTCTAGGAATAGGTTTTCCAGGTTTTTACTGAGCGAGGAGTTTTTCCTGTGCTGTAATTTGCCCTGATAATATCTAAATGATAATTTCGTATGGATAACTTGCTGTCAAATCGGCTTCACAGTGATCGGCGTTGAGCAGCTCGTTGTGCTTCCGATGCAAGCCCATTTTCCAGAATGATCGAGCGAAGAAGTATGATAAATATGCAGCTGCAAGCTGAGTACTAAACACCAACACCACCCGACGTACCGCCGACCGTTTACGTGATGCTGTCGTAATCTACAAGTAAGGACTGATCAGTGACTCTTCGGCTAATTCTGCATTCCTTCCATTTTCTTCTGCTCTGGATTGCTAGCGGGCTGACCACTGGGCAGTAATGTAGCATTGGTAAGCATGAAATGAAGGTATCCAGTCCTAATTCAAAAGTAGAATAATCTTCTGAAATGTCAGGACTACGTATTGTACATCAAATCCAGGGAATGATCAAATGCGATATCCATGGC